ATCCGCAGAGGAATATGCAGTGAAAAAGGTTTGCTCGACACCATAGCATGTGCAGTATTTCTTTAATAACCCTCTTTTACTCTTACTTGCATTGATTTAATGTCATTTGGAAATCAACAAAAAGCCTACATAGATTTTAGGCTATCACTAAAAATTTCTTTTGGAATCGAATTCAGCTTATGTTGTTAATTGTGCATGTAACGGAAATAATTCATTCACAGATAGCTTTGTAAGAACATTCCCAGAAATTCTTTAAAAGTAAATAATCGACGCAAAAAATGATTTACCCGTAAAACTATTAGTAAGAGCAAATTGGCAATAACATGCAAATAAGCAATTGTTGAAAATAAAGAAAATGATCAATGCTACTCTCCTATAAATTGCTTGTGAAATGGAAGCCTTTAGAAAAAATGCAAAAGAATAATTTTATGGTGTAAATGTCTAGTCAAAGATTGTGTATTCAGAAGTTCTTTTTTGATTTCGCCTCATCATGGTTTTTTTCCTGATAAACAAACAAAACAACTGATAAAGCTTAGCTGTTTACGAAAAGAATGCATGTGACTTACGTCCATACATATAAAGAGGGATAAGCAGTTGTGATGTCTGTTGTAATGACACCAACGTTCCTTATTAGCTGTTTTCTGTAGTTATCACGTTCTGCTTTTTTAGAGTGGGACTGGATTCTTTTGTAGATTTGTGTGCAAAACAAACTCCTAAATAATCTGCTTAGTCAATATATAAACCTTCAAATTCAGCGTTTCTGGCTTTTCTGTCCAGAAAAATACTCGTCTTCAAAATTTAATATCTAATTCCAGTCATTTTAGAATAGCAAAATCTGAATTATCCTAAAAAAAATTAGGAGTCTTAATGTTTGAATACATATTTTTCACAGCCCTCCGCATTTTAATATTGAAACTTGTCGAATGCTGATAGAAATTGTTTTGGTGGTAATATTGATTTATTATTTCTCTGATCAATGGCGCAAGACCACCCGACTGCCACCAGGTGAGAAATCATTTAATAACTTTAATGTTTGTTCTCCAATATTCCTAATGTTCCAAGAAAGCTAATCTTCAATTCTGTTGTTCTTCAGGTCCGTATCCTGTGCTTTTCTTCGGAAATCTTCCGCAAGTTGCGTATTACTCGTGGAAGTATGGAGGCGTTGTTTCAGCTTTTAAGCACATTAAAAATGTATACAGCTTTTCATCAAAAAACTCTTTCGTAAGAGTCACGTTTCAACAAAGCCCATTCAAGATCTATGGGCCAGTGTTCACGCTTTGGTTTGGTCCAATTCCCTCGGTTCTTATAGCCGATTATACATTGGCTCAAGAAGCTATGGTTCATAATGGAGCAAAATACCAGGATCGTTGGAGTCCGGCCATGATGGTGGAAGGAAGAGGTTTGCTTCATTTGCTGTGCACCGAAAAAGAAAGAACTTGAGGATTTGAAAAGAGAGTTCCTACGATTAGATCATAATCACATTTATATGTATGTTGAAGCAAAGCTTCTAAAAGTTTAAATGTACGATGGGTATATATATATATATATATATATATATATATATATATAC